GCACTTGCTACTTTGGGAAGCAACTCGTCCCAGTCTAGCTGATCTGGTCTAATGTAAATTCTGAGTAGCTGTTGCAAGATCTTACTCATCTGTTCTGTCTGACCGTTAGTCTCGGGGTGTCGTCCTGACGACATCAACAACTTAGACCCGTATACTTTCATAAGATCTTGCCAATTCTGGCTGGTAAACCGGGTGTCCCTATCACTTACTACGGACAATGGCATACCATGCTCGCCTACCCGAAAATCAAAGAACTTCCTTATAACTAACTTTGTACGGGCCTTTGAAGGCAAGGGAACAAATACTGCATATTTACTAAATTTGTTTGCTATGACCATGACTTGAGTTTTTCCATGTCTGCTTCTGACCCCAGTATCCATGAAGTCAGTGGACACTGAATCTCCGGGTCCTGAGGGAATAGGCAAGGGTCTAAGAAGAGCCAAAGGGGCTCTAGTCGTAGCTTTATTATGTTGACACACTTTGCAGCTGCGCACATATTCTATGCAGTCTGCTTTCATGCCTGGCCGTGTATAGGACATCATGAGGTTAGCTAAAGTCTTCTGCCATCCAAAGTGCCCTTCTGTATCGTGGCATTCCCCTAAGATCAGACTACAGATCTCTTCACTATTGGGGACGCATAGCCTGTCAGCGATATTAGTCTTTTCAAACAGTAGCCCATTTGTGGTCCGGTAGTGTGGCTCACTATATAGGGCTTCCCTTACTCTTTTCAGCAGCTCACTGTAGATTGGGTCCTGTGCATAGGCATCTCTTACTTTCTGCTGCAGATCGGCCCCTATGTCTAGATAGTGTACTATCGCGCCGAAATAATCAGATCTCCTGCTTAGCGTATCAGCTACCACATTGTACTTGCCTTTTACGGGTTTTAACTCATACTGGTCTATCTCAGCAGCCCATCTGGTCAAATTGGGCATCATCTTGGCCTGTCTTTAGCCATCTAAGAGTCTCGTGGTCTGAATACACCTTGAAGTGCCTCCCAAGCAGGTAGTGTTTCCACTGCTCTAGAGCCTGCCTGAGAGCGTAGAATTCCCTCTCGTATGTCGATGCTGCGACTTTCTCTGAAGGCAGCTTGGCTGACATGAACTCTACGGGCCTTTATCCGTTGTCGTCATCTTGCTACATAACGACACCTATGCCATATTGACTCGCGTCTGTAGTAACAGCAAACGGCAATGATGGATCGACAACTTTGAGGACAGGGTACTCTATCAAAGCATTCTTCAATTTTTTGAAGTCTGACGTACAATCCTGATCCCACTTCCAGATAGCTTCTTTCTTCAATAGCCTACGAAGGGGAGCAGCGATCGTAGAGAAGTTCCTCACAAACTTCCTGTAGTAGTTAGCCAGTCCTAAGAAAGAACGCAACTCTGTTAGTGTCTTAGGAGTTGGCCAATCTCTGATGGATGCTATCTTGTTGTCCTCAGGTCCAATGCCATCGTCGTCTAGTACATGGCCTAGGTAAAGGACCTGTGTCTTGGCCCATTCGCACTTCTTCGGGTTAATCTTAAAGTTAGACTCTCTGAGCTTACTTAGAATCTGTCGTAGATGGCCCTCATGTTCCTCAAGGGTCTTGCTGAACACTAGGATATCGTCTAGGTAAACTACGACGAACCTATCTATCCAAGGTCTAAACAAGTCGTTCATACAACGCTGAAATGTTGCGGGTGCATTAGTAAGTCCAAATGGCATCACTATGAACTCGTAATGCCCATACCTTGTCCTGAACGCCGTCTTATACTGATGGTCAGGATGCACCTCTATTTGATGGTACCCTGATTCTTCGAGAAATATTTGCACCCCTGAACTCGATCTAGCAAATCATCTATACGCGGTAATGGCTCTGCATTCTTAACTGTGATGGCGTTCAGTCCCCTGTAGTCAATACACATGCGCAACTCTCCCTCCTTCTTTGGGACAAACAGAACAGGTGCGCTGAACTGCGATGAACTAGGTCGGATCCATCCTTTGTCTAGGAGCTCATCTAACTGTCTGCGTAGCTCCTCTATCTCTTTGGGAGACATCCTGTAGACTGCCCCCTTTGGCGTTCTACGGCCAGGTTCTATTTTTATTCGGTGCTGGATCGGTCTGGGCACTACCCCTAAAGGTGGTTCAGATAGATCCTTATATTCTTCCAGCAGACGGCAATAGCAGGATGGATCTTTTCTTCCTGCTTAGGCTGATCGGACACTGGCCTAACATAGGCCACGAACACTTGTTCTTCAAGCTGTTCCTTTCGCGCAAGCCTGGTGAATGCAGGAGCGCTGAGGCAGCAATTGGCAAGGGAATTACCTACCCCGGACTCATGGAACAGGCGGACTTTCTTGACTTCGCCTGACGCACTAGGGAGCCTACACTCATGCTCTCTGAGGTGAAGTGTGACTCTTGCTGCCTCTCCCCAATCTGTGCCTAAAACTATGTCAAACGGGAGACTCTCTTCTACAAGGAGGGTCAGGGAGTGCAGTACCTTCTCTACCTTGCCATCTTTCTCCAGGCGAAAGTTGGCGTGGACCCCCTCAACATACTCTTCGACCCCCCCTCAACATACTCTTCGACGCGCATCTTGCTATTGTCTGTGAGGATGCTGATTACAGGCTCTTCTAGTCGCTGGACCTTTAGGTTCAACTTCAACTTACTCAGCGCTTTACGACTAACATAGCTCCTAGCTGCCCTGCTGTCTATGAGGGCTCCTACTCTAGCTCTAAATATTTGTACATCTACGAGGATCAGTTGTCCTTTACTATCCTTCTTCATCTTGGCCCAGGCTTGCCTCCTCTCTCTCAGTTCATCGGCTAAGCCTGTGAGGGAAGCTTCTCAAGAGACCCTAACACAAGCGATCTCTGGACAACTTACTAGACGCTGGCCTGCAACCTCTGCCATGGGAATATGTGGAGTGGGAGACTCTACTTCGTTGGCACGCTCGGATCCACATACTCCTGAGGTAGGGGCAGTTGCAACCCCTACCGGCGACTGTCTTTTGCTGCCCCAGATGCAGCACGGTCCGTATACTTAGGACAAAATTTGATAATGTGGTCCGGGTCCTCGCAAAATACGCATTGAGAACTATTGATGCGTTATTGCCATACCCTTTGATCTATACCCAGGTCTAACTAAGGTCGGCCTTCAGGTCGGCCTGGATGACACCTTCCGTGTCTGGGAGGTGACCGACTAGAACTCGGACGGTTAGACTGGGGACCTCCCCTTCCTCCCGCTTGGCGGTTGCCATAGCCGCCAACCCCCTGGCCATCCTGCCCTCGGTCACCCTGGGCCCAGCCACTTGGGCCGGACCGTTGTCCTCCTTGCGGCCTCCCTCCTGCCGCGACAACATCGTAGGTTCTCCCCTGGCCTGCGCTGTTGTCCTCCTCCTCTAGTCCCCACTCGATGTCAGAGTAGGGAACCTCCTCTGCACCACCTTCCTCCATCGTTAAGATCAGACTATCTTTGGCCTTGATTTGGCTTGGTGCATCCCTTCCACGTTTTTCCCTTAGACAGATCCTTGTGCCAGAATGTGGTATCTGGCGACGCTTGGGCGACAAATGCAACTGCCTCCTGACTAAGTGTATCGTAAGTCATGCCGTGCTGATTCTTCTTCTCGAAGAAATGTCCCTGAATATTTTCAGGCAGGGCGCGATAGGAGTTGCACATCAACGACTCCATGCCTAGGGACCGCAATCAGTTCGTCCATAGCGGACTTTAGCGCATGCACACTCTTCCACTGGTGAGTGTGGATCATTTGGAGTTTGTCAGAGGCATTAAGGCCCCGTGTGACATCAGAAAATCGCTCCCCGAGGGCTTTCAGGAAGCCGGAGAGGGGTGTCAGTCTGGAATATGTAACCATATCGTTATCGCAGTTGGCAGCGCGGGCTAGCAACCTAGCAAAGCTAGTCGCTTTGTCTCTAAGGGCTTGGAAGGCCACCAAAGTGTGGTCTTCAGGTGTGACTCCCTGCAGATACAGATAGGAGTGCACGTTGGCCTCCCAGTTATCAAAATCTTCACCCTTCTTCCCACTGAAGGGTTCGGGAAATCGGACCTTGACTTTCTCGCGACGTGGTGGGGCCGGCTCCTCTTCTTAGGGGCCGCTAGCTTGGCGCCTTCAATGGCGCCAGTACAAAACTCTCGGTTCCTATTAATCGCAATGTGCTCTTCGGTCAGTAGGTGGTTCATCATGTCGCACGTGAAGTCCTTGAACCCCGCACGTATCGCGTCTATCTTTATGTCTTGACTGCGTTCGTACTGCATTTGTTCCCGCTGTGCGACTAATAAAGCCTCTACACTTTGGATCAGCGTATCTAGCTTGGTTGCTAGCTCAGTCTCCGCTCGGATCTTCCCCATTCTAACTTCCACCGCTCTTAGGTCCTTGTCCGCCCTCTCTGCCGCTTCCAATCGCCTGACCCTTTCTTGGGATAACCGGTATCTCGACGCCATCCGCTGTTCCTCCTCCTTCGCCACTCTCTTTACTGGGTCCCTCTCTGCTTCAATTTGCCTCCTGGCTGCTTCTCTTTCTTCCTCGGGTACAGCCATCTTAGCCTCTTGGTCTTCCCCTAACTCCAAATGTGCGGCCCATTCCTGCGCTCTTTCCACAATCTCCGCGTCTTTACTTGTGCTTCCTCCTCCTCTTCTCCTCTCTAGCGGTCTTTCTTCTTCCTCCTCCACCTCTTCTTTTTCTTTTTCTTCTTCCGCCTGAATAGCTGCCATCTTCTCCTCCTGCTCCTTCCATCTTTCCATCTCCTCCTCCATCTGCCGCTTCTTTGCTTCCTGCTCCTCCAGCAGCGCCAACATCTTAGCCTGTCTGATTAGTTCCCTATTCTCCATCTTCTCTTTCTACTCACGCAGAAGGGCGGCAGCTCTCTCGTCCTGCTCTTTGCTGTAGGGGGTGGTAACGGTTCCGGATCTAAGGGTCGCCATGTTGACAGCGCACAATTAACAACAATTCCACACCTCAACACTCGGACCGAACAGGTTACTTCTACTTCGGGGACTTGGTTCACTACCCGAACTGAACTCACGGTTCTATGACCACACACACAAAGTCCTAACAACCTAGACAGTAGTGACAGGGAGATAGGACTGACTGACCTTGACAGACTCTATGCCAGCAAGTACCGGCGTGAAGGTACACACTCACGGGGTAACGGATAGGCCAGGCTTGGAAAGATAGTACCGTTTGTCTTCTTGCTCCAGCTGGGTCAACGCTCTGGTCAACGGTCTTGGTCAAATTCGCCGGTCAACGCTCCTGGTCAATACGCTAGGCAGCTCTGGTCAACGCTCCTGGTCAATGCACTAGGCAGCTCTGGTCAACGCTCAGTCAACGCCCTGGACAGGCTGGTCAACGTTGGTCAATGCCTGGTCAACACCCGTGGTCAACCTCGATCAACATCTGGTCAACTCTCCCGGTCAACCTTCAAACCTCCCGACTATGGTGGACCTCCTTCTCCTTCACCTCAGCTATGGTTGATCTTGTCTCCCTCTTCGTCACTTTCTTCTTCGTTTCTTCTCTCTGCGTCTCTTCTTTCTCCCTTTTTGATGTTGGTCTTCTTCCCCGAACTCGGCAGCTATGGCTACCATCCCCCTTCCTCTCTCTTCCTCTCTCTCTCTCTCTTACTATCTCTCTCTCTCTCTCTGCCAAGCTCCGGCTATGGCGGCTTCTTCCTTCTTCCTTGTGTGCTGCAGCTCCGCCGGCGTGGACAACGGGTA